CAAATCTTGAAATCATTATGTACCAATCTGTCAAAATTGCGTAAATGTGACGACTGTATTTGATCAAAAATACCCACCATGAGCGCCTATGACCAGAGCACTCGACACGCCGTAAAGCTCAAATTCTAATCATTAAAACTATCTCATTGTTCGTTTGTGCCATCACGTCTTTTGTTAACCATTTTGAGAGTTTTTGCTTTAAAATCATAACGCTGTTTGTCTCAAAATAAATATAACCGCTAGTTCCCGAGACATGGGGCAGTGTGTCATCCAGCCCACCTCCGCAAAGGAAATGGAGCACTGGTGTAAGATTCAAGCGACTGGTAGTTTTCGTGCCCAGGAGGCATTTCAAGAGACAACCATGACCCACATCTTGGGAATGTAGGGCTGTGTTTTAGCAAGAGGTTGGCTTACCTCGTGCATTATGTTTCTGAATTGGATGAAAGCACAACTTGATGTCTGGGCAACAACTTACCTTGTCTCGTACGATATGTTTCTGGCATAGTGATCCATACATGCATCAGGGGATAAATGTTCTTGTCTCGGCTGCCCCCATTTTTTTCAGTGGAAGTATACTTGTGTATTGCGTATTTGTTTTCAGGCGTGAAAAATAGGCTTACAGCCTTTAGCGTGCTTTTAGGGATATTTTTGCGAGGCCGGGCGGGTTTTCAGAATCTCAAAAAGTGATGTCAATAACTCAGACTTTTTCGGAAAGGGACTACGCGTGTCAGCGTATATCGATGGGCCAAGTGCAGCGTTGGGAGTTGTCCGCGCCAAATCCGCACCGTCGGCCTCGTCACGCGAATGCTCGCTGAGACCGGAAGCCTTGACTCTGGGGTGTGTACTAACGCCCCTTGAAGTCGAGTGCTTCAGGCTACGGGCGTGATGCAGACCTTGACAGGATGACGTGGCGTTGGTTACGGCTCGAGTGTGGCGGGTGGTGCGTGTGGTGACGGGTGCCGGTCACGCTGCGGTTACTCACGGCTTCTACACCACATGCTGATGCTCGAGTGTGGCAGGTGGTGCGTGTGGTGACGGGTGCCGGTCACGCTGCGGTTACTCACGGCTACTGCACCACATGCTGATGCTCGAGTGCGGCAGATGGTGCGTGTGGTGACGGGTACCGGTCACGCTGCGGTTACTCACGGCTACTACACCACATGCGGGTGCTCGAGTGTGGCGGGTGGTGCGTATGGTGACAGGGTGTCGGGCCATGCTGCGGTTACTTAGGCTACTTCACCACATGCGGATGCTACTGGACGAAGCCGGGCCCGATGGGCCATGATAGCGGCCGAGGTCACAAGATGTCGCGTGAACAGCCTGACGCAGACGGAGAATGTGGGCACAGAAGCGCGTGGCAGCAGGCTCTGTGTTCCGCTTATTCGCGTCAGAGCTAGCAATGCTGACCGTTTTGGGCGTGGTGCTTCACGGTCTGACCTTGCAAAGCGTTGGCCGAGGGGCGGTTCAGACAACCACAAGGATTAGTAAATCAGTTGCGCACCTTTGGCATGCTAGAGCGATCATCGGAGGGCAGGCGTGCGCCTCGGGTGTGCGCGGATGTTGAGCGAGGGAGAAGGAACACGGGGCGCACGCTACCATTCGGTTGTTCGGCATGCGCGGGTGTTGAGCGTTGGAGACGGAACATTGGGCGCACGCTACCATTCGGTTGTTCGGTATGTGCGGGTGTTGAGCGAGGGAGAAGGAACACTGGGCGCACGCCACCATTCGGTTGTTCGGTGCGCGCGGGTGTTGGGCGAGGGAGAAGGTACACTGGGCGCATGCTGCCTTTTGGTTGTTCGGTGTGCGCGGGTGTTGAATGAGGGAGAAAGAAAACGGGTCGCATGCTGGGGTCCGTGTCATATTGACACGAACTTTGGACATTCTGTACCTTGGACAATAAGTACTTTGCACACTCTGTACCTTTGGACATTTTGTACCTTGGGCAATATGAACGCCTCCCAACGCTGCGACACTTTCACAGCAGCTCGGCCCGCGTCCAACGCCCCGCTCCATGCTATCCGTTGTTATGCGACCCACCGACCGCGTGCTTGTAATGTTCGCACTGGCGTCGACTGTATGCGTGCGGCCGACGCTGGTCGGGGCAACGCTACCTGCCAATAAGGATGATTATTCACACCCTGATGGCCGCTCCAGGAACTATTTTGGAAGGTCTGGGCCCTGGACATTCTTTGCCTTGGACAATACGTACATTGGACATTCTGTACTTTGGACATTCTGTGCCTTAGACACATACATTAGGCATTATAAAACGGACCCCTTCCTTTTTGTGCCATTTTGGAAGTGATTTCCCATCTTGGACATTCTGTACTTTGGACATTCTGTACTGTGGACAGTCTGTGCCTTTGGACATTCTGTACCTTTGGACATTCCGTACCTTGGACAGTGTGAAGCCTTCCGCATGCTGCCACTGAGTTGTTCGGTCCCGACTTTCACATCAGCTGATATGCCAAGCACTGTTTGCTCGCTTGTGGTGCGGTGACGTAATCCGATCATCTCTCGACAAAACGCAAACGATGAGCTGGCGTTATGTTGGAATGATGCTGTATGGTTAGATTTGTCGTCTGGACGCATGGTGGTCCGTGTTTTGCGTTGCTTGTAAGGAACTGTGCGCCGCCGCGAAATCAGAAGAGAGAGCCCACTGTTAGTCATGCAACGCCCTTATGGTGATAAAGGAGAGACGTTGGGTGTCGAAAGTGTGAGTAGTTACTGACGTGTGTTTTATGATGAAAGGATATTGTTTGCATTCTTATCGCGTGGCTGCTGGATTCACAGCAGCTGGATTAGCGACATAAGCAACCCCCGCAAAAACCTCTCGGTGCAGGAAATAGCTGAGTTCGCCCGTGTTTTCTGTTAGTATGGCACTGGCTAGTACCTTCTTGCACTACCGTACTGGCAAATTGTAAATCTTGTGGCTTTTGAGCTGCGTGTGAACGAAATAGTGCTAAAGTTGAACACGGCTTTTTACATGGCGAGGATTACACCTTCCTTGCGCCGTAAGTTCACAGCAATATGGGAGTTCTTTCATTGCTGATGTAACGAACGTGCATCATGAGCCGGAATTCTTAGGTGAGTTAGCGGCCTTCATTATGCGAGGGAGGTACTGGTTAAACGACGTGGTAGTGCTAAATAACGATTATATATACGGTATTCAATATATCGTGCTTTTCTCATCCTCAAGAGCAAAACGACGTTGAACCGGTATCTCCTGGTATATTAAAGGTCATTAACTCAACATGAGAGCTTTCAACTCAAAATAAGGGAACTTCACCTGCTTTCAGCTTATCTAGAATCAAGCAACCATATCGTCAACGTGGTTGTCGAGCTTTTATCGCGGTCTCATGTAATAAATGGGCGCATCCACGTTAAAAATGCAAATCAACAAGCTGGGCCTGCCGGCTTGGTGGACGGTGCTTGTTTGCCACCATTGCAACCTTAAAACATAAGTGTCAGCACAAGCCATTTTCCACTATCAGGTTGGTGCTTTTGAACGCACCGTTACATTGCGCACGTCGTATCCCATGAATATGCCTACATACGAAGGGCCCGAAAGTTCAGTACCTTCTTGTTTGCGTTTTAACAAGCCAGCCGACGCGTCCTCGTTCGTCCGGTGCGTCGGCACATTTCAGTGACTTGCATTCGTGTTTCCATGGGATTCACTCGTAATTTATTCATTCACCAATGCCGTGGCAAACGGAATGAAAATGTTTATCTGGTTGGTGTCCGGAAGGCATTTGGACATTCTAAAGTCTATATAGCATCAATTACATGCGTGGTTTTGAATACTTCAGAGCCGGCTGAGTTGCTGGCGAATCTCATTTGGAGACGCAGTCCGAATCGCTCACAGGGGACGTTGCCAGCAACGTTAATGGTAACAATCTTATCATTTCGGCGTGCCGCGTTGGAGATCCCGAGTATGAACTTAACAATGTACGCAACAATGCTTAGCGGCGTTTCAACAATGCGTCTGTTGCGGACAACATTACACACAACAGGAACGGCATTGGGTCGCTGGACGTGCTCCTGTTCCCCTGTTACATTGTCCGCTGACAGTCTGGCACCCGGCCACCCGTGCTTCACCGCCACCGAGGCCAGCTCTCCAGCGACAAAGCGTTCATGTGAGCAGTTCACCGGTGACGTCCGCGAGAGCAGCCTCGAATGATGACTCGTTCATGAAGAGCTGGCCTCGGCTGGCTCGTGCAGCGCGCCGCTCCAGCGACCCGGCGTGGTAGCCCGCTCACCGCGGCGTCGACAGCGCCGCGGTGCGGTGGGAGACGGCGCGGTGGTGGGTCCGGCGCGCGCTGCCACTGTCTCCTCCGGCTGGGCCCCTGTTAGCGTGTCGTCAGCGTGCGCCGGCACGGCTCTGAGAGCTGCCACGGCTCAGAGTGCCGTTACGCCCCCCCCCCCCCCCCCCCCCCCCCGGCTCGGCTCCTGTTGGTGTGTGTGCGCACGGCTCGAAGCATCGCCACGTCATCCACGGCTCGGCCCCTGTCCGACGTATTGGCAGCGGGGGCTGGCACGGCTCAGAGTGCCGTTACGCCCCCCCCCCCCCCCCCTCCCCCCCCCCGGCTCGGCTCCTGTTGGTGTGTGCACACGGCTCTGGGCGCCGCCACGTCTCCCTCAGCTCGGCCCCTGTTGGTGTGTGTGCACACGGCTCTGGGCGCCGCCACGTCTCCCTCAGCTCGTCCCCTGTTGGTGTGTGTGCACACGGCTCTGGGCGCCGCCACGTCTCCCTCAGCTCGGCCCCTGTTGGTGTGTGTATGCGCGCACGGCTCTGATCGCCGCCACATCCCCGTCGGCTCAGCCCCTGTTGGTGTGTGCGCACGGCTCTGGGCGCCGCCACGTCCTCCTCGGCTCGGCCCCTGTTGGTGTGTGTGCACACGGCTCTGGGCGCCGCCACGTCCTCCTCGGCTCGGCCCCTGTCCGACGTATCGTCAGCGTTGGCTGGCACGGTTCTGAGCGCCGCCGTCGCCTGCTTTCAGCACAGAGCTGTCGGTGACGAGGAGGCGATCACCGTAGAATTATATGGAAGATTTTTGTCCGGAGTTGAGAGGATCACCATCGAGCCGCACGATCACCATGATGACCTCCCCGAGAAGGAGCTTGAGGTTGCGCCTGCCAGGTAAGTATGCCCCGGTTTTTGACCTGCTGCTGGGTTCCCCGCTTGGGAAGACTTGCTGCAGTGGATGTTGTCATTCCGAAATGACTGACCAGGTACGTGTAAACGAGATGGGAACTTGGGCTGACCAGGTGTCCGCTAGGGGCGGTGTCATACCACTCGTGGATTAATAACCTAGCAGGGCATGTGATGCATTTTCTAAGGAACACGTCATATTCATGTTTTCGTTGAGTGAGCAAAACAATTCATTTCAAAAGGAGTTATCCAACCCATAAAAACCTCAAACAGCTGATATATGGCGATTTTGGCCCTCGTCTTCCGCCGTAGCGTTATGGAGCAAGACGTTGCCGTAATGACAATGTCACCGAGTGGTGCACACTTCCCACAGGGTCCGTGTTAAGGCTAAAACCTGCAGAGCGTTTACAACGTGAATTTTTCCTGGTTGAAGGAAGGAGCCCAGACGATTGTGGAGAATGTGCCGGAGCTCCCCATGTACTCAAATGCGGTTATTTGAAGGCCAGTTTCCTCGAAGGTCATGCCGCTCTTCTGTGATTTTGCCACTAATTCTGACATCTGTGACAACATCTGGCAATGCATCATCATCATGCATGTATTATTGTGGACTTTTCTAATTAAGTTCATTGGGGCCACCAACTAAGCAAATTGTAAGATGACCACGTTGCTAAAAGTAGTATTCCACATTTATATGGGGTTTTTGAACTGAAATAGCCATCTTGAAGATCATTCGGTGCAGTTCACGGCCCTGCCCTTAAAACCTAAACCCCTCTAGTTTCTGAATTACACGCCTGCGAAGACGTGCGACTATTTCGTGCAGACTATTTCATGGCCACTCAAGGATCCATGACACCACAATGATGTCAGTCAAATCCTACCATTCCATTGACCAAGCGGCGATCAAGGTCAAGACAAATATAACTATCCAGTTGTTGATATATGACATTCGTGAGCACGATTTCCAGGAGTGAGCTTATTTCACCACATCTGATGTGTGCTTCAATATTTTCAACTGGTCCTTTCAATCTACATGTGCTTGTCCATAGGTCTTTGGGCGACCAGTTTCGATGCGCAGTCTGTCTGATTATATGTGGTTGCCTTAGCATCAAGTCCGGTTCCATCCGATGGACGGTGTGTGGAACAGAGAGAACAACATGGGCGCGGGTCAAGATTCACTGGACGACCTCAGCGAAGAAAGACGAAAAGACCGTCGAATGTGTCATGAAGACTGTCAACATCACCGTCGCGTAAGTTTCGCTCTGTACTGGGACGGAAAGAGCCAGTTGCAGATGGCGCGTCGTCTGCACTTTGTCTTTAGCTGCAAGACATCGCCGTCAGGTAAGCTACCCACGGCCCGATGGCAGTGCCACATGGCAGTGCCACATGGCAGTGCCACGGCCACCGGGCCGCGGGTACCGCGGGTGCCGCTCATCAGTGCCAAACCGCTCGCCCTGAGCCAACGGCGATACTTTGCGACGGTCTCGTCCATCGCCCTCATGTGAACCACCCGTGTGACTTTTCGCTCCGGGGCATGGTCCTTCAGTGAGCCACTCACCTGACTCGCGGCTGAGCAGGGGCGCACGCGCGGCGCGGCACGTCGCCGCCGCCGTCACTGTGGCCGTCCCACTAATGTGAGACTGTGTGTCCTGCGACAGCGACGGAGCCAGATGGGAGGTGAAGCCCAGCCACGTGGAGTACCGCCGGCTGCTCTGGCCGACCGGCTCGGCCTCGCACGCCGCGCTTGTGCTGCGCGGCGCTGAGGACGTGTCGGCGACGGCCTGCGTCGTGAGCCAGGTAACCTCGCCGGCCGGCCGTCGCCCGCGCCCGCCGCGGTCTGGGCCCGCGGAACCGGGGGACGCAGGCGGCGGCCTCTGCGCTGGGCGGTGCACGGTCTGCACCGGCGTGTGGAGCAGGGGTCTTGGCCATCGCAGCTGCACCCTCCGTGCAATGTTGACTGCCCATTGTTGAATGTCCGCGTGCCGTTGAAGACTTCATGGAGTAGGAATGAGTGTGGCGCTTCCTTCGCTGCGGTATTTGCGTACGTGATGTTCTCTCGTGTTTGCGTGCTGCCGTTGATGCTATCATGCCATGTTGGGCCATATTGCAAAATCAATCAGGGAGGGGGGGATCGGCTAGATGGAATAACTAAAGCTACCCCCCCTCTGCGCGGCCCGATTCGCCAATGTTTACACGGATGTGACCGGCTGCTTTTGAAGTTAGGAGAGACGACGTCAAGCAAGGAGAGGGAACGGGAACCCCTCTCCTCCCCTTCCCACACTGAATACAAATCACAGTTCTGGCGGAGACTTCGTACAGTTTGAGCAGTTCCTTTTGTGTATGAAGAGATGTGCTTTTTCCCCGTGTGCGCATGTGCACATATGCCTGATTGCTCGACCTGCTTTTTCAGTGTGCAGACCTGGATTCGATCACAGCCGCCCCTGGTGCCAAGTGCAAACAGTTCACGCTGTGTGAACATATGACCCTGACCTTACCGGTATGTAGCGTCCGTCATTGCTGTTTTAAAAGTTGGGCTGGCCGGTAGAGGCCCACCAGATTATTGCGCGACTGGATAGTTTATTTGCACGCTATCCTTAATCTGGCCGGGCTGTTTGGGGCCTCTACTAGCTGGCCAACTTTGGCGCATAGGTAGAACTTACGTTTTGCTCTATAATGCATGTGATATATATGATAATGACCACGTATTGCAGCATCTCTCTTTCGTCACTGAAAATGAGCATAGTCATAATTGAAAATGCATAATTATGTCTTAACAGCTGTATCATGAAGATGTAGGTTTCTTGGAAGTTTTGGGGAGCCCTATTCGCCTTCAAAGTGATGAAACTTAGAAATCTGTGCGGTCCCACTTGTTCCAAGGGTGAGCAGAAAATAATGATCTCAAAAAGCTGGTTTATGAACCACAACAAAACCCCAACACCGAAAGCGGTGCCACTGTTGGATCTTATTTTCGGGGGTAACGCTGTGGCCAAAATGATTACCTAATGGAATACCACGGTGGGATTCTTGTCCCCATTAGACTCCTGTTAAAGCCAACACCTTACTGATTGTAATGCCGCGAAGAGAAAGTACCATCAAGAAAGGCACGAAAGGAATAAAAAAGATAAGCCTGGGTCACGTATACATAGAAATCGAAGCCATTGTTTTTAGGCCCATTTCAAGTATCCAGGGTTACCGTCCCATACTCCCCTCCCTCAGCTTTGCCGCTGAACGGGCGTTTAATGGTGCGATTCGCCTTTAGGGGACCGCAGCCAATCGTCCTTACAGAGCGCGGATTTGCACGCGTCTGATGAGACACGTTCTCAACGGTTTGTGATCATGTAAAATGAATTCGAAACTGATAAAACTGATAATAAGGTTGTGTCAGCTTATATGATAATCGTTCTTCTGATTAAACACATTCTCAAAGTTTTGTGGTCATCTGAGACGAATTGGGGACTGATAAAACTGACATTAAACGTATATCAGTTTTATAATGAAGTTATACTTACTAACTGATTAAACTGATCTTTAATTTAAACATGGGCTGTGCATGCATAGACACTGTGGAAATGTGGATCAGTGCCCCATGGCAATAGTTCTAAAAAGTCGGTGGCGATGACAGCGATTTTGCTGGGCCTCAAAGTGCCAACTTTTCGGGAGTCTGCCAAAATACCGCACATCCTTGCTTCACTCGAGTTGACCATCTTTCACTGTCTATTCGAAGTCACCACCAGTGAAGAATCAATAGCAGAATTCGTCTCCTCATTATTGCTGAGCGTTAGTGTGACGCTTCCGAAGCTTGTGACCAGGTTGAAGCGTTAGTGTGACGCTTCCGAGGCTTGTGACCAGGTTGAAGCGTTAGTGTGACGCTTCCGAAGCTTGTGACCAGGTTGAAGCGTTAGTGTGACGCTTCCGAAGCTTGTGACCAGGTTGAAGCGTTAGTGTGACGCTTCCGAAGCTTGTGACCAGGTTGAAGCGTTAGTGTGACGCTTCCGAAGCTTGTGACCAGGTTGAAGCGTTAGTGTGACGCTTCCGAAGCTTGTGACCAGGTTGAAGCGTTAGTGTGACGCTTCCGAAGCTTGTGACCAGGTTGAAGCGTTAGTGTGACGCTTCCGAAGCTTGTGACCAGGTTGATGGACATTTCGATACGTGCGCTTTGAGGAGAATGTGGAACGAATTCGGGTTAGGAATGAGATGTGCATGAATAGAAAATGTGGGAATATGCTGGTACTTCGTGCCAGTCGCTGCTGTACTGTTCTGGTTGCGTGGTTTATGTTCAGGTGATGGAGTTGAATAATTGAGTTTGTTCCTCATCACGGTTAGTGTTTTTGTAAGTGCAACTTAACTCTAGTGGATACTTATGCGCTGGTAAATGCGGAGATGGTTTGTATTTTCTTTATCGTTCTTGGTGTTGTATTTCGTTCTGATTCCCTTGGGGTCCCGAAACTGATATTAGACTCAAACATGACTGGTTTCAGATTTACTAAAACCGTGGTTAGTCCGGACAAACACAAGTTTTTGTTTGATGGATGAGCTGAATTATGGCTCAGATGTTTCATCTGATATCGCATCACAGCATTGGCTCCTATACAAGATGTTGTAGTTGTTGGTGTTCTCGCATGTGTCTACACTGTCAGGTCTTCGTTGTTTGAGCTGATTTGCGTGAATATTGTCCTGCTGAATGACTACGATGCATATCTTTCTTCTTCGCTGGTTGCAGGAGTGTTTCCTTGGTGTCGCGATAGGCTTTGATGGATATGTGCTCCTTTTTCCAGCGCAGTGAATCCTCGTATCTCTACGTGCGGATTGACCAGTCCGAGGCCAGCTCGACTTTGGGGAAAAAACTGAAGCTAAACTTTGCAACGGGAAGGGCAGTGGACGTGGACCGGTACATTGCGGACCATGCGTGCGGGTCTCCAAAGCCGGAGGAGTCGGCGGGCGGGGCCGCGCCCTACTCACCGCTGCCGTCCCCCGGACGCCCGGCTCCTGGCCCGGCGGCCGCCCCGGAGCCGGCGGCCGGCGGCCGGGCGCCTGCGAGCCGGGGTGCCTCCGACTCGTTGCTGCCCCCCGAGGGCGACTCCGCCCCCGGCCCGGCCACCGGCGTGCAGTCGGCCGCAGCGCCGTCGTCGGTATCCCAGCGGACTCCGGTCAGGACAGAGGCGGTGATCGTGCCGGCGGCGCCGCCGGGACACGGCACTGCCCAGATCGGTGACATCTCGGGCCGCTCCGGGCCCGTCTCCAACACGGCCACCGCCAACGGCAACACGGTCAACATGTCGGTGCATCTGGCCTTGCCAGCGTCCGCCGATCTGCCCGCGAGCCGGTCTCAGCCCAAGCCCCGAACCCAGCCGCGGCCGGTGGTGGACACCGACCCCGAGCCCGAGCTCGAGCCCGAGCCCGAGGCTGTGTCTGCTGTGGAGGCCCTACCGCTAGGTGCGCCCGCTGGCGGCGTGGTCAGCGCTCAGCAGCCGCAATCTCTCCTTTTTCGGCCGTCGTCCAAGGAGCTAGAGGTGAGGTGGGCGTGACCGGACGGACCCCCGCGCCGTTCGTGTGACCAGGGATTCACATGATGATCGGTGGTTTGTGGTGTTGAGAACCAGTCCGTTGTCCTCACCACGTGGTTTGTCTGGGGTCTGGCTACGGCGGCGCGCAGCCGCTGCGGTGGGGGTTTGGAGAGACTCTGTCGGTGGTAACTCTGGCTCAAAGGCTGCGACTCATGTCGAATGTGAGCAGCAGTAATGGCGCCGCCCGCCGGCCTCCTCGTGCTGGCTGTGAGCAGGGGTGATGGCGCGCCTCCCGCCGGCCGCCGGCCGTTGCTGTGCCAGCTTCTGGCTTGGTGCATAGCGTCTCTGGCGAGACGCTGTGCACGGGCGCTGGTACATCGAAACTCACAACCGCTGTCTGCTTTCAGTCGGGACTACTCCGATTCAGCATGGAGGCGAAAGCCCCAATTGAAGTCATTTTGCATCTGAAAAACAGCTCGAAGGTGCTTCGCCTCTCCTCTGGGAGGTGAGGTTTCATTGAATGTTTAATGTCTGATCTTGTCTTGGGTTTGGGTGAGAACTGCGAGTGAGGTATCCCACCGTATCTCTACGTTGTGTTTGGATATATACATGATATATTGCGTTCTGCGCTCAAGACAACCGCGGCTGGGCTATGCTAGTCATTAACTCGTGCACTCGAACTACTAGCTGGCAAAACAGCACCCTTGGGTGCTTTGCGGCTCACCCCTGAAACCACCAGCCCACTCAACATGACCGGGCTGTCCACCGAGCCTGGGGATCGCCCTGCGCTAACATCCGTGGCTGTGCTCTGACGCCATGTTTGTGGGTCGGCGCCCGAAGGGGCCGCTGCGGGCCGCGAGAGCCGGCCCTTAGCAGCGGCCGTGACCGCTCGCCCACCGTGTCGGCAGCGGGGGACGTGCCGCGACGGACCTATGCCCGGCCGGGCTGGTGGACGGGCAGCTCCGCGCCACCGTCACCACTGCGGCGCGGCGCGAGACGGCATTCGTGGCATGGCTGGACGGCCGCCCAGACGCGCCGCTGAGGTGAGCGCGTCCCCTCCTCCGGAGCGGTCGGCGCGGGGCCGGCCGGCCACCGTGGATGGGATGACAGCAGCGGAGACCTGGCACGCAGTGAAGCCGATGGTGGCGGGCTCAGGCCCTGTGATGTTCGGTTCACCCTCGGCCAGGCGGCCTTCGTCTCTTTGCCTGCGTATGCGGCTGGCGGATGGGTTCGTGCCAGACGGTGTGGGGCGTAATATGCTCCTGGCCTCGTATTGTTTCGCATCACATCGCATCACATCACATCACATCGCATCGCATCGCATCGCATCGCATCGCGTGGCATCTCCTCGCCTCGCCTCGCCTCGCCTTGCTTCGCTTCGCGGGCTGCGGGGCGGCTGGCCTCGTTTGTCGAGCCTGGTCGTGTGGCGTGATGGGACGCGGATGTCGGTGCGGAGCGAGCTGCCAGATCGGAGGGGTCTTCGCCGAGCGAGCGGCCAGATCGCAGGCGTCGACGCTGAGCCAGCTGCCAGATCGCAGGTGTCGGCGCCGTGCCAGCTGCCAGATCGCAGGCGCCGTGAAACACGATCGGCACATTGACATCGGCCGTTTGCGTAGGGTGAACCGGCAGGAGGAACTGGACCTGACCCAAGAGCGCGCCGAGGTGCGACAGATCAGCTTCCCGGACTGGAGCTCGCCGCTCGGACTCCAGCTGAACATGGGACCGGGCCGGTGTCTGCTCGTGTCTCTCTACAAACGGATGGTAACCAGCCGACGAGCGTTCTCCTGCAGTCGCTGTCATTGTGTCCAAAGTGCCTCAGCAAAAGGTGCCTTAGAGCCATGTGTTACCAAAGCTCCGAAGGAGACAGAAAAGAGCGGACAGTCCAATCTATCCGCGAATGGGAGACCCGAAATTGCGGACGGAGTCCATTGATTAGGGCTCAAAATCGTCCGTAAAACGTGTAAGTTACCTTCCGAGATGTCAAATGCTGTCACACTGGCTGCACTGCATTTGTCGTCGGACTGTTGCATAACAGGGTGACAAGCGAAGCATGTGATGCACACGCGTGCGCTGTTTTTCGATACGTCTTGCTTAAAATTTGCAGAACTATATTTGTACTTTGCAAGAACCGGGGTTTAACAATTTTTTAATGATCGCACGAATCGCATGAATACCCGCCACCGCTTGACACGTGACAAGGAGTGCTCCCACTCCAGCCCTCCGCGACGCAAAAGCCCGCTTTTTTGGAAGTCTGGTGCTGCGAAGGCATGTGGTCAATGGGACGAGTCCAGCGGGGTCTCCCACTAGATCTCTCTTCGCGCCGAAGCCTCCAAATGTTGCAGAGCATGCAGTCTGTGTGATGTCCGTCACATTATGTGGGGATATCGAAGCAACGCGCCGCGACTGGTGCAATGCAAGCATGTAGATAAGCGGGAGAAGACCCAATGCCGGGTCGACCCAATAAAAACCAAATGTCGGCTAAATTGTCAGCATTTCCACGAAATCCGACCCTTTTGTCCACGGTTATTTTGCGTGCTGCAATGCTGCTGCATCATGGAACACATCAATCCGTCATTTGCTTTCGGGTATCAAGGGTTTCGCTGTCTTTAATTTGTTATCTGGCATCAAGTAAACGCATGCAACAAAATGACACAAACGTCCCGCAAAGCACGCTTAAGCCTTCCATATTATCGGGCTCTGAGATCACCGCAATACGTAATCTTGGTAGGCCGTCGATAAACTGTAAGTCGTCTTGAGAATGAAGCAATCATTCTGTCATTTACTCAGCTATGACGAAAGGGTTCCCCGTTGTTATCGTATTGTTTTCTCCTGGTCATGGCATTGCTGCCACAATCCTCACTGTGAACTTGGTGGCGGCTGGCTGTGTCTGTTGCAAGAGGTAACAGTGTGGTGGAGCAGCGACGTCACCACTATGCGTAGGCGTTCTTCAATCAAATGCAGGGGCAAGCCTCAAGGCTTAAGTTTGGGGGGGGGGGGAGGTAGTCGACACACAGTGTCATTCATACACACCCGTGCCGGATTGTTCCACTCAGTATCACTCACCGGATCTCAGAAGCCTCACATTCCGGGACCCATGTCTTACCGACTGCTTCGGTCGCTGTCGCGCGGCGTGGAGACGCCCTGGCGCCTGGCGTCAGAGCCACTGGTGCTGACGCCCTGGCGCCTGACATCAGAGCCACCGGTGCTGACGCCCTGGCGCCTGACGTCAGAGCCATCGGTGTTGACGCTCTGGCGCCTGACGTCAGAGCCGCCGGTGCTGACGCCCTGGTGCCTGATGTCAGAGCCGCTAGTGCTGACGCCTTGGCGCTGACGCCCTGGCGCCTGACGTCGGATCCTCCGGTGCTGACGCCCTGGCTCCTAACGTCAGAGCCACCGGTGTTGACGCCCTGGCGCCTGACGTCAGAGCCACCGGTGCTGACGCCCTGGCTCCTAACGTCAGAGCCACCGGTGCTGACGCCCTGGCTCCTAACGTCAGAGCCACCGGTGCTGACGCCCTGGCTCCTGACGTCAGAGCCACCGGTGTTGACGCCCTGGCGCCTCACGTCAGAGCCGCCGGTGCTGACGCTCTGGCTCCTGACGTCAGAACCACCGATGCTGACGCCCTGGCTCCTGACGTCAGAGCCACCGATGCTGACGCCCTGGCTCCTGACGTCAGAGTTACCGGTGCTGACGCCCTGGCTCCTGACGTCAGAGTTACCGGTGCTGACGCCCTGGCTCCTGACGTCAGAGTTACCGGTGCTGACGCCCTGGCTCCTGACGTCAGAGCCACCGGCGCTGACGCCCTGGCGCCCGATGTCAGAGCCGCTGGTATTGACGCCTTGGCGCTGACGCCCTGGCGCCTGATGTCAAAGCCGCCAGTGCTGACGGCCGGCTCGCCTGTGTTTCAGTGCCAGGCGCTGGCCGGCCCGCGGCTCCAGAGCAAGCTGCACAAGTACTTGGCGGACGGCGACTACCTCGCCCTGCCGGTACGTGGCGGCGAGGGTCGCTGTGGACATGGCCGGGGGCGCGACCGCGCTCTGGGCCTCGCCGAGCGCTGCTGTGTCCGGGGCACTCAGCTTGAACCAATTAGGGGTTGTTCGGATGAACAGCCGCCTCGGAAACCGGGTCTCACTTCGGCTTCCCCGACGATGGAGATCCCAGTGGTCGTATCACTGCCACTGCGTACGCCGTAAAGTGATGCAAAGAATGACTGCTGTCTCGATGCGACGTTCGTCTGGCTGGGCGGCGCGAACTGTCGGCGCTGTTTCCGAAGCCGTGGTAGGGGAAGGCGAGCGGTGTTGTGCTTGTGGGGATCCCCTGCGCAGCGATGGCTTCCGTCTCGTCTTGATCGCTCCTCTGTCCGGCACCTGGGGTGACACTGCGGCCCCGCCGCCCGTCCTCTCCGCAGCGGAGCCTGTCGCAGGACCTGACGGCGTTCGTGCGCACCGAGTGGGCGGCGCCGGAGAGGTGTGGTCTGTCGGCGGCCGCGCTACCCGGCCCCTTGCGCGCGCTGCTCACCCTCGTGCGTCACGAGGACGGCCCCGCCTGGGTGCGGCTGCTGCTGCCGCCACTGGCGGCGCTCTTCCTGCCGGTCTTCGCTAGCGTCGTGGTTCGCCGCTCCGCCGCCAGGTGCGCTGTGCAGAGGAGACCGCGGCCGAAACGCCTTGGAGGCTTCGTGGCTCCACTCGTAGCCGCTAGGGCGTGTGCCGAGAACTCCGTTGGCCTTGTCTCCGCGTTCCGCGCTATTGATGGGAGTATGTGCTGTGGGGAAACATTGCTTCGTCAAGCAGTTGGGGGCGGGGGGGGGGGGGGCCTGGTCGTCCCGGCATCGCTGGAGAGGGGGAGGGGGGGGGGGGGAGGGTAGACGGGGAATGGCGGCTCTCGCGGCGTCTGCGCCCCGCACGTGTCGTTGCTGTGCGATGTGAACGTCCCAGTGTAGGGAGGCTCGGGAGAGATTAACGATCTATGCTCGGCCGGGTCAGCCCGACGCCGCTGCCACCGCCGGCGTCGCTGCCCGCTCCGTGGGCCGGTGCTGACACCCGGCCTCGCTCCAGGCTGCGGCGGCGCCGCCACACCAGCGGGGGCCAGACCGTCCGTATCGAGGAGCTGGAGGCCTCACCACAGCTGCCGCGCCGGCTGCCGCCGCTAGACGCCGCCGAAGCTGAACAGCTGGCGCTGCCGGCGGCCGGCCGCGCCCCCCCGGCCACCATCCTGTCGGAGGCGGGCTACCCGGACCTGTCGCACGAGAAGCGACAGCAACAGCAGCAGCAGCAGCAGCAGCAGCAGCAGCAGCAGCAGCAGCAGACTGCCACACTGCCCGACGACGAGACGTGCCCGCCGCAGACCACGTCGCTCTCGGAGCCCACGTACCCTGACCTGTCCGGCGAGAAGCGGCGGCTGGCGGCGCAGCTGGCCGGGCCGGGCGCGTCCGCGCCGACAGCCGACGCAGCGGCCCCCGTCGCCGCCGCCGCCGCCGCCGACGACCGCAAGGAAGAGTGGGCGGCTCGCCTGGGCGTGGGCGGAGCGCCGGCGGCGCCATCCGCTCCCGATGAGGCCGCCCACGCACCCGAGGCCAGGTGAGAGCTGACCGTGTGCGCCGACTGAGCGCCGCGTGTCGCGCGCGTGAGAAGGCATGCCCGTCGTCGTGTGGCGGTCTGGTGTCCGGGGTGTCGCCGTCGTGTGTGTGGCGGCAGTGGTATGCCATGTCGGCCGTCGGGGTGGCGGGGGGGGGGGGGGGGGAGGGGCGAGCGCGGACGGGATATTGCCGACGCCGGCCGCGTCCGCCGCGCAGGGATCGTGGGGCGCCAGGTCCGGCGTGACGTAGGGCGCCGGCGCGGTCGGTGCGGACGCTGCCGCTCGCTCCGCTGTCGGGCGCCGGTGGCCGGCGGTGTGTGATGGGCCGCCGCTGAACCGCGCCGCCGCCGCCGCCCTGCCGGCAGCGCGGCGCTGCTGCCGAGGTCGAAGCAGCGCGGCCTGGAGCCCGTCGCCGCCGCCGCCATCGCCGACGTCGAGGCCGGGCAGCTGCAGCCGCGCCACGCCGCGATCACGGCCGCCGGCTGCGCCATCCCCGTTCTGGCCGCCACAACGTACCAGTCTGTTACGGCGCTGCAGGTGCGTGTGCGCTCCCAGGGCGACCCTGGTCCGGACCAGACCCAGGCTGGCGTCGTGAGCGTGAGCATACGACATGCGCGCTGACTTCAACCCCTCACATTGCTCCGACGGTGCCGTCGTTTTAGGGCGTAGAGTTCTAGCGTGCGTGAACCACTGGTTAAAGCGTGCATGTGTGAAAGTGCAGTCCTGACATTTTGAGGAATGGTGTTCCTGGTCCCCGAACATCTACGTGCGTGCGTGCGTTCCGGGGGAGGGTGGGGGGCGGGGGGAATCTTTGCGGGTTAATTCTTGACAGCCCGCACCTTGTGAAAGTTAGCTTTGAATAGTGTCTGGAACATCATGAAAGAAACATCCTCAACGCGGGGTTTCCGGACGTGGAACACTGGTACTTTCACGCCGCTCAGCCCAGCGTCGCGCTACTGTGGCGGTCGCATCAAATGGTCTCCGACGGTGTCGCCGTCGCCGTGCCGTGCGGTCGGCACCGTCGTGGCCGCCTGCTGACCCTCCGTGACCCGCCGTCAGCTGTTCGCCGCCGGGGACGCGGGCGTGTGTGCCGCCTCGCCCATCTACTCGGTGGTGTCCGTCGGCGTGCCCGGTCTGGGCGGCCTGGTCAACTTGGTGCCGGCCGTCGCCTTCGCCGCCGGCCTCTGGCTCGTGCGCCGCTCGTGGACGCGTGCCGCCGCCGCTGTGACCAAGGTCAGTGATGGGCGCGCTGGAACCGCCCAGAGACGGCGCTGGGGCCGGCTGCCAGGAGAGCCTAGGGCATGTGCTGCAGGATCGGCTGTGTGTAAGCTGCTTGCTTTTGCGTTTGCCGGCGGGATGTGGAGCGCGTCGTTTGCAGTTTGTGGGTCGGCCACACCGAACGGCTGTGTTTGTGGGAGCTTCCGCCCCTCGGGTGCGTGGCGACCCGGTTTGGGGCGGCGGGGCCGCTGGGGGTGGTCCGATGTGGGCGCACGGCTGTGCACGTGTCGTGCCGAGCGGGCCCTGTATCGCGCCACACGGACAGCTCGTGGTGGACCTCCGCCGTCGACTCCGCGCGCTCGCCGCTCCCTTATCCGGCACATGGGTGTGGAGATGAATGGGGGATAACCATCACGAGCTCAGTGATGAATTGCATTTACGCTGCATTGAACTCGTTTGTGTTTCGCCGTTTTCAGAGCGGCTTGGGGCCAGGTGTGTACATAGATGACTCAGGCCACTGGGTTGTCCGTTTCTTAAATATATTTCAGACATGTGCGCTGGGCTAGCACATTGGAAAGGTTTCGACCCGTCCCCACTCGCCACCCTCCCGTTTCGTGTTGACCCGACCGCACAGTACTGGGAGTGCGAGGTCACACCAGTGCCGGAGGCGGTCTGGCGCCAGCGGTGCGCGTGCGCCCGTCGCTGACGCGTGAGGACGCCGTGTGCCGGCAGACGGGCGCGGTGGCTGCCTGGCCCGTGCCTGGCGCCGAGTGGCTGCTGCTGGGGCTCGCCGCCCAGTCGGCCGTCGCCGGACTCTGCCCCGGCCACCTGCAGCTGTTCGCCGGCAGTGAGTGACTGCGCGTGCCGGTCGCCGGCGGGGTGCGCGTCGGTGCCTCGGCGCCTCCGCCACCGGTGGGCCGCCTGCGATGCCGCTAACTGTGCTCGGATTACGTGAGAATGGCTTAGTG